ACTTATGAAACAATTTGATTGGTTTCAAATCAGATTGTGCGTCTTGCAATTGCACAATCTTCTCTTTGAACTTAATATCTGGGTTTGGCTTCCTCGTGCCAATCCATTCCCAGAATCAAGTCAAACGGGAGGTTCTTTTCGACCAGGAAGGATTTCTCATGCAAAATCTTCTTGCCTTCCCTTGTTCGAAACCAACACTTGACACGATCAACATACTGCGAGACAGTGATCGTGCTTTTGTCAGCCAAAACAGACGTGATAGGTTTAAACAGGTTCTTCACCTTCATTCCGAGATGCAATTTGCGGATTGCTCTCTCGGATATGTAGGATCGTGTGGATCCTGAGTCCAACAGTGCACCTACACGTGTACGTGCAATCTCCATATCCGCGAGTAATAGGTCACCCTTAGACTTCGATTTCTTAGCCCACGAGCTTCGTAGTGTCAGCAACTCGTTACCAAGCTCGTCAAGAGAGTCGTCCAGAGAGACAATACATAAGACAGGTTCATGGTGTTCTGGACGATGGGCCGAAGAAGAACCATCCTCTGCCATGCGAGTCAAAGGGTTGGAAGGGTTAGTAGGCGTCGTACCTTTATCGTGGTCCAAACCCTTAGACTCAGTAGGAACAGATGCTACTCCTACTGGCGGCTCGCTTTTGGGTTACCGATAAGTGGACACCATGCAATCGCATGCCCTGCGGTCCCACACATCAAACACTGTGCGTTATCCATTCTTTCCTGCCACGTTTCCTGTGACAGGCCCACCTTTTCCCAAGGCTTCCCGGCCGCAATCCCGGGGTGCTCTGGGAACGAGCGTAGCTTCTTCATCTTGACTGGTGGTCGTGGTCCTCCCCTGTTGACCACAGCAGCAGTGACTTCCCCCTTCCCGGAATCACTGCTGCTTGCCACACCCTCGGCCTCCAATGGCTACTTCTCCACAGTATCGTCATCAAAGACAACAAGGGTGTGGTCCTGGCGCTTTTGGCGCCAAAGTATCCGCTTACCTGTACCTGCACCACCACCATATTTCACAACAGACGCATAAGAGTTTTTAACCTGAGAAGTCATTTGCTCTCATTGGAGAGCCAAATCCCGAAACTGCCTATAATTGTACTTCTGATTTGGACTCTGCCACGAGTTATCCACGGATGGGCTCGGGCAGAGCACGGGAATAGATGTTCATGACTTGGTTGTCTTATAGGTTCAAACCCGGAACCTGCAGCAACCGATCAACTTCCCGAGACAGCGATTCCAAAGAGGTCCAATGTTTCTGACCAATTGTGGTGAGCTGGTCAAAGGCCTTGTTGGTCGTCGTTTGGTCCAAAAACTGTTCCTTGATCTTACCAAGGAACTGCTTGAGGTTCAAGGTTCCAGCGCACTCCCCAATGTCATCAAACCCTGCCGCATTCGCTTTGGCCAACACCCATTCCTTAGCTTCCCCCCCGAGACAAGAAGTAGAGAAAGCAACCGGGAATCGGGTTCAACAGGGGCCGTACTACAATATGTTTGAATCTCTGCAATCCAGAGAAACAAATTTTCATCTTTCTTATTACAAAACGTGAAAGGCAATTTCATTTTGACCTTCTCCTTTCTTTTCGGTTTCTCAGGTTGTGCGGTGGTGACTTTGCTTCCTCCGGGAGATTTCGGTGGACTCGAAGGCTCCTCTTTCTTCTCTTCCGGTTTCTTCTGTTCCGGTTTTTGAGTGTCTATTCTAAGAGACTTCATTGTGTCTCCCATTAGTTTCTCTGGCTTTTCTTCCTTCTCTACTTTGACTTCTTCTCTCACCTGATTTTTTCCTTTGACCAGATTCGTGATTGTCTGTAATCCCACGGCCATATCATCAATCCGTGCAACAGTCTGGTCAATCTTCATTTCTAGGTGGGCAAGGTAAGTCACAAGTTGAGCCAAAGAGATTGCTTGTTCTTCTCCTTCGGTCTGAATAACTGCCTGTCTGATTTCTTGAACTTTCTGCGCTTGCTGTTCATTTTCTTCTCTTCTTCGCCTCATTTCTTCTTTCTTTCTCTTTTCGCTCTCAAGTGCCTCTTCAAGTTGTCTGATATTTTCGTCCACGACTTCTTCAGACACAACCCCTACTCTTTCTTTCCGATCAGCAAGCTCGGAGAGATGATCCATGATATACTTTTTTTTATCAAGTGTCTGACGACACTTGATTCATATATCCTGAACCTGGATGACGTCGGTGCCAGTCTCAGCTGATTCAATAACATTACATAATGCTTGTAAATCAAACTGTCTCCGGACTTGAGACTCAGTCTCGGCACCGGCGCCATGAAGTTCAGACAATAGTTTGTCCAAACGGGCAATCAAAAGTCGTTTCCGCTCTTCCACTTGCTGCCTCGTTCGGGGGTCAGGAATCTCCTCATCAACAACAAACATGAGTGAGACTGGAAAGAAAAGAGAAGGAATAAATCGAGTGAGCACTGAAAGTTTCAGACAGTTCAAAGGAGAATACATCTTGATGTGCGGCTGCCGCCAAATAAATAATCAATAAACAATAATAAATTCCACGGCCGCACTGATTTACAACAACGAGTTTTCAAAAAACCGAAGAAAAAGAATCAGATACAATTATTTTTATTTTCTAACTATTGTTGTTCTTTGTCTGTCCGTGTGATGACGTCCTAAACAAGGGTGTACAGGTACAACATCAGGCCCGTGTGATCAGACACAACACACAAGTACGCAAACACCACACACAACAACAACAGGTAAGTATGCCGACAACAATCACAAAACAGTTTGTCAGCAATCTTCGTCAGTTTGTTGTGTCTTCTTGATGTCAGTGCGATCATGCACTCCCCTTGACAGCTGGCACTACTACTATGTAATCTGTCCAGTCAGCTGTACCGCCGTCGTCTTTAGAGTGCACCTCTTACTTGGCAGTATCCTGCCTGCCACGTGTCATCCCTAGAGTGCCAACATAGCAAATGTTGCCACGTCAACACTCTGTCCAGTCTGTCAATAATGGGATGCCACGTCAGCAAATGTGTAGTCTGATCCTCGCCACGTGCCTCTTCCAAGCATCACGTGAGATACCGTCGCCGTTCCAGCCAGTCAGATCATGCCACGTCAGCCAAGGAGTTCAATGCCATGTCAGCAGGCAAACACCTCCTCATGAAGACATGTGTGATGACCTGCTCCTGCCACGTCAACAATCAATCTTCTTTTCTCCAGGCCACGTCAGCATCTGCAGTGGACCCTGTCGCATGTCAGCAGCACAAGGAGTGCCACGTTAGCAATCAACAGGGTCTTCAGACGCAGCACGATATGTGCCACGTCAGCAAGGGATCGCGATGCCACGTCACTATCGCAATCCTGGCTGGCATGCAGTATCCCTTGTCGCGATCCCGACTGCCACGTCAGCAACCTGGGATGTCTTCTCGCCGGCAGAGTCTGTACCTTGTCAGCTTCCCTGGTCAAGTCTTCTCACCAGTGAATCTCCACTTCGTCAAAAAAAAAACCGGCAGTGTATCCTCGCCAGCGAGGTATGTGCCACGTCAACACCCCCAGCGTATCCCTTGCCACGTCATCACCTACTCAACCTCACTAACCTGCGTGCCACCTGGCGAGTACTCAATGTACAAATGTCGTCGTCAGGAGAACTGCTCCGATGCCAAATTGCAATGAACCCAAATCGTGAAGACAGTTGTCAACAATGCAAGCCCAGATAAATGCTCATTGGCTGATGATTACTAATAGTCAAAATCGTAACCAGACAGAATGAGATGAGGTAATCATACACAGATGAAGAGAGAGGAGGGAGAAGAGACAAAGGAGAGGAAAGTACAATGCCCACTCCTGCTTCGGGCTCCCTCCTCTACTACCACCTCAATAATCAA